TTTGCACGCTAAACTTAAGCATACTCATGAAAGCAGCGTTTCTTTGGCATCGCAATTTGATAACTTCGAATATTTGCATACTTGAACGAGCAAAGGCACGTGCAAGTTTATGGAATTACACAAAATTTATCAGCAGCACTTTACAGTTAAAAACGCACAAAGCTATGCAATTATTTAAGCATTGGATTTCATCAAAAATGTATTAACCTTTTTGCAAGTAATGCTAATATATTATATTAAACTATATGGTATATCGAGTTACGAGACCTCAGTTGTGTCTAGACTGTATATAAATATGTATGTGYGTATAAAGTGACGTAAAAAATATTATATGTGATAAAATTGCATTAAAATGTSAATAAACACAAAGCACTAATAAATTGTATGTGTATTTGAATGCTGACGAATCATGAAAACGTTTAATAGTTCGAAAGTGTTACACTGCTAACTCGATTCTTATTTTCCAAAAAATGTGTAAATCATTTGGAAGTAAACCTATGAAACCCTACTTGAAATCCCTCATTGCTTTCAAAGGYTACAATTTTCAACGGTTTGGAAATATCTTAGGGTTAGGGTACCACAAATTTATTAAAGCGGTGAATATCCCAGGTCCCAGAAACTTCGCTAGGTTCGCTAAAGGTGTGTCCATCCCTGTCTGACACATCCGCCAATAGAAAGGGAAGTGACAAGTTCCCAACTGGCCTTCCTATATACAGGATGTCTAACAGAATATTTAATCTCCCCACTAAGAACCCCCTATAGTCTAAAAACTTCAATTGCGGCGAGATAGACTTTACTAAGAGCTAGTAGTACGGAGGACGTATTACGGTTCACTCTAGGCCAGAAGGATCACGCATTCCTACAAGTGCTTTCTTTTTTTTTTTTTTTGACCAAAACTTAATTTAGTTAAAAATAAATACAAGAAAACCGAAATCCAAATCCTTTCCTACCAATTAAAAAGCATTTCAGAAAGTTCTCATTTTCTAATCAACATGATACTTGAAGTCTTTGCTGCAGCACCTATGGTTTCTACTTGATCTATACCAGTTTTTTCGATACCTTATACTCCAAAGTTTGGCAGCAAAATTAAAAAAAGCCAATAGTTAAGGCTATAAATATCGCACTCCTTCTTAATACATATTTTCGTGGTTCAATTGCTATGAATGATTTACAATCATCGTTCAGTTTCTCAAAGATAAGGTGCACATTTGCTGCGTCATGCAATCATAAWATAACGCAAAAAAAAAACTACTTGAACAACTTAGAATTTAATGTTATAAATACAATAAACCTATAACTTTTAACTTTTTTATGAAATCGCCTCAAATATTTTGTGCAAAGTAATACAATTTAGCGAAAATTTTGCAGCACAAGCATTTACCAAGCACCAGTTACTAATTTGTCGCTAAAATTTTGATTTCATTTTATATTTGTGTACATATATTGGTTTACCGAACACTCAGGTCTTTACCTCTATATACACATAAAAAGTATACGTCACTTTATTAGCGCATATAAAGATTTCCCAATCGGCGCCACTTCAGCTACTCAAATTTGTTAGGCTCGCTAATAATTGGGCGCTGCCCAAAAAGCCAACAATCAGAAGTGAAGTGTCCAAAGGATTGTTAACTGTGTTGTTGTGTTAACAGAATACTTATTGTGATAAATATGTCATAAACAATTATTACGAAAATGTGGTTCGTTTGATTTCTATCAAGCATACCGTTTACGGCGTCTATAAAAATCGAAAAATTTTAATTGAACCGATTATGATTTGATCAAAGTGCAGTTTCTTAGTGCTTGTATAGAGTGGCACTGAATTTCCGGCTCTTTACTAGAATTTTGGATATTTTCCGGCCCAATTTTCGAACACTTTTTGCTGCAAAGGCATAGGGACACCTGCCAATAAATACGCTCCGAATATTCCTCTTCCAAGGCGTCAAATGTCTCGGGATTAGCGGCGTAGACCAGTGGCTTCAGAGAACCTCACAAAAAGTAGTACAACGATGTTAAATCGCCACACAACGCGAGATCATGCGTTTACCAAAAATGTGCTTCAATAAATTGGTTACTTCGTTGGCTCGATGGCATTTGGCGCCCTCTTGTTGCAACTACAGATCGTCCACATCAACATACTACAAAGCAGTGCGAAAAAGTTATTAATCATGGCYATATAGTGTTTCCCATTGACTGTAACATTTTATAYGGCTTCATTTTTAAGGAGTTATGCMCCAATCATTCTCTTTGTCCATAGATCACAGCAAACCGTGACTTTTTGAGGACGTAGCTGCGTCTCAACTATGGCTCTCAACAAAAAGTGAGCTTCGCAGTTGAAAAATCGCTCKTGAAACCATCATTACACTCTTAAAATATATGGCTCCAGGGTAAAATATTTTTTTCATAATAAAATTGCCCGATTTGCGTTGTTACGGAGAGTCTGTTCATTTTGAAATGCCAAACTCAACTGATTATAAATCAGGTTATATAATATAAACTCATAAGTGTTGTCAAAAAGTCCGTATTCAAAAGAAGTGTTGCCTGAATGAAAACCACACGTCAATAAAAAAACACCCGTTATAATTGCAACAAGCTTAATAAACACCAATTGCCAAAACACGTGACAAACCAGAACCCTTTGGGGCGGTTGAGCTATATCAGCTTTACTCGGCCATCATTCTCCCWAGCTGAATAATCACTAAAAGACACGATACCAAAAAAACTGGTATGAGTTTCATTATGACATATGTGTGTACATATATGTAAATATATTCTAGGAAATACTCGCAATGCTGTCAAATAATAAGTATGAAGGTATCAAAAAACTTAATTTAGGCTTTTCTACGAGTATTTGAGTATGAATACTCAAGCCTATACATTCATTACTCATCCATCATAATGAATTGCATATCTAAATACGTGCTAAGTCTTATATTCACAACAAGTGACATACGTCACATTTTCTGTCATATACAAATTTCATTCACTACCTAAATAAATGTTTAATTTTTTGAACCTTTGTATTTAACAGCATTGTTAGTAAATAATGGCATTACTTCTGATTTGTATTGATATTGGCAGTTTCGTTTTCTTTTCGAAAAAAAACAAAATAGTATTTATAAATGATTTATAAATGATTTGTTTGGTATTAATTTCTATTCATGCATTTTTTTATATAAAAAATATAGTCTAGAGAATTTTGTAAAATAGAATGAAAAACTGATAACGCAGACTAAATAGAGTAAAAAAGAAAGTAGAATTACTGAAATTGTTTGGTTGTCTATGACTTTTTTGCTTTTTGAAAAAGTCACTTATACTATAATTAAGCTAACGAGAATTCGATAACAATAAATTTTGAATTTACTAAGTATATTTTCTAAACCCCTTTGTTGGATGTTAATAACTTTGAAAGTTAAAATTTTATGGCTTTAGCTAATAGAAAATGTGGGCCAAAAATAGTAAGACTCCTTAATTTAAATTTTGTGCGAAACCACATTCGTCGAAATATTTTTTTTTTTCGTTTTTGATTGTCAGTGACATGTGTGTCGAAACATCCAGAATGTTGGTAACGTCTTTCGGTGATAATTGTTTGTACCGAGCAAGTGTTTTTGAGCTTCGAAAACGCCTTAAGAGCAATTGTTGATCAACATGTCAATGAAATAAAAAACTTAGTGGTTGAGAATCGACAACTAACAGTCAKAGATCGTTGAAATATCGAAAGGATCAATCCGTTTTGAAAGATCATTTGGGCCTAAGCAAAGTGAAAGCACGTTTGATGCCAAAAGCACTAATTTTTTTTGGAAAACAGGGTCGCGTTAACGTCTGTGAAACAATCCTTCCCGACTACCAGGACGATATGAAAAATACTATTACTGACAATGAGTTTTAGATCTATGCTTACGATCCGGAAACAAACGATCAACCGGCCGGATATCGTGGCAAAGGAAGCTTAAGCCGAAATAATCACGTCAAAGCAGGTCAAAAATCAAGTTTATGTTGACAGTTTCTTCCATTATCGAGGTGTGGTGCACTACGAATTYCTTCCGAAGGAATGAGTACACGCATTAAAGGCTTTTCCGGAAATTGACTKTAACAACTGTTTCGAAGACTGGAAAAAGCGTTGGCACATGTGTATTGGGGCCAAGTGCGATTACTTTGAGAGGACGCATAGATTATGTAGAATAAATTAAAAATTATAGAATTACTTGTATGTACAAAGTCTTAATTTATTTTTTGTCCACAGTAGTAGTTCAAATTAATATTTTTATTGGCTGTCAAAATCAGTTGTTTTGTGTTTCAAACATTTAACATTAGGAAAAATGCATATTAAATATTATTTAACACCATTTTTTTTTTTATTTAGAAATTGCTACCGCTACAGTTATGCGGACAATAAAAGCATTGAAATTATCTCCAAATTATTTTTCAAACAAAGAATTTAGACTATTTAAAAAAGCAAGTTCCCAACATRGTATAACTAGCTTTAACCATATAACGTAGAGCACCGATAGATACCAGAGATAAATGCCTATGATAAATGAGTAAAATGCCTAAAATAAATTCTATATAATTTGTGAAAGTGGTATAAAATCTTTTGAGGAACATGCTCACCCATGAAATCTCTCAAAAATTATCGTTGCGATGCTTTCTTTTTGAGAAGTCTAAAGTAGTAGGGTGCTCGCACTAGACCGTTGAATATGCTATAGAAATACTCGCCAAAAAAATTAAAAAAAAAAAATTTTATAATTATTTTTAATTTTTAAAATCTTTTTAGATCTAAAATATTAAAATACATGCATTATTTAATTTAATAAACTATCTCATTCATAATAACTTTATTTTGTATTAATTACTTTCCAGATGGCGAATTCCACCACTTCAATACCAACATCCAAAGAGAAGTCAAATTCAGTATTTACGCTGAATGATTTCAACTCACGGTGAGTTAATAAGCATAAATTTGATAATTTTTGCAAATTTTGTACAAAAAAAAAAAAAACATTTCGCTTATGCTTTTGATTCAGTTTTATGGCTAGTTTTCTAAACGAACGAAATAATTTCTTAACAGACAAAATATATTTCTAATCATCAAATCAAATTCTTTACTAAAAATTTCAGCACCCARCTAACCGAAAAGGCACAGCTTGACGATGAGTACAACCCAGCGGATCATCGTGACCAGGTCAAGGGCCAAACAACAGGTGGCGCATTAGCGCATTTGTTGAAGAGTTCACTAGGCACCGGCATTCTAGCCATGCCAATGGCCTTCTACAATGGCGGTTTGCTGTTCGGCATGATTGCCACGTTGGTGGTCGGCTTCATATGTACGCATTGTGTGCATATATTGGTAAGCTTGCTTTCATTTATGTTTTTCTTATTATCTTATTATTTAATGCCATAAATTTYCAAATTTTTAGTTTTATTTAAACTTATGCTAAGTAACTATCTAATAATTCTTCGCACGAWTGTTAGGAGCCATAGAAACTTTAATCGAAATCTCTGGTAGCGCTATTGGGTAATTAACTGATATTTTAACCAATAGTTGGCTTGCAGTGGAATAGAGTTTACCGCTTTTTTATTCCGTCACTTTTCTTAGAATACATTTGACCTTGGAATACAATAATTTGTGACCTCACAAAAGAGAAAAAGAAGGCTTTGTTTGAAATTAAAATAAAATATTTACTTTTGTTACCTTTTTCAATATTTCGGTGATGATGTCACACGTCACAATCATGACCTTACGTTCCTTTAAAAAATATTATTCTTTATCCCATCTGTTATCGTTGTTGACCTAATCTACACGATTTATTTATATGGCAGATATGGTATCAATAAAAATTTTCAATAGAAAAATGTTATCATTAAAAAAAAAAGAAAAGTTTTTCGAATAAACGAAAATAAGTAATATCGTTCATTTCGGTTATTATAACTTTATAGCTGAATTTATTGCAATGCGTTTTGTTATTTTGCCATGTCATAAGATTTTAACCTGGACTTAATTGATAGCAAAGCAATATTTATTGTTGCAGAGTTGATTTAGCCCCTCCGAAAGAGTTTTATTCTGCCAGTAAATATTTATCACCACTTTACGATTTGTTGRCAAGATAACATGAAAGGTGGCAATATATACATAAAGTTATATTTTTTAATACTAAATATTCGTAAAGAAATATTTCCGAAGTTCAGTACACTTTGTTACTGGACCAACCAAACAGAGGTTTCTGATTATCAGTGAAGCCGCTCAAAACACGTGAACCAATGCTTTCCATATACTACTTCTTTTTATCATTCAGATTAGAATATTTTGCAAATTAGTTGCTATTTTAACGATGTTGGCGCTATTTGCGTTAAAAGTTGTAGCAAAGTAAAGTAAGTGTGGTGAATGTGAAGAAGCGACTGCAGTAAATAGGTTCACGGACGTCGTGCTGTTCGCACCATATATCGTGGCTTATTTGTTGCCTGTGTCAGTTATGTAGCCACTGTATGGTGGGAAGCAGGTAGCCTGTGTGCCGCACAGTCTTAACTGATGTTAGGTGTACCCGCTCTTGACTTGATTGTCATACAGCGTGCTGTTGCTGCAGAATGACTGGATTTCCGATGATGATGTAGAGAGGGAGGAATATCTAGGGAGTAAAAGGCTTCTAGATGATAAGGTCAGGTGTAGGTGGCAGGACCGTTGGGACAATAGTCCTAATAGTCGAGTGACTTGCGAGTACATTCGCGGCTTTGAGTTTGTTGAGGGTAACGCAGACTTCCGAATCGGTCTGAGTCTGGGTTTTCTGCTTTCGGGATATGGACCTCTGAGGGCATTTTTGAATCAGAGACACCTATCTCATAGTTTGAGTTGTTATTGTGAGGCGCGGGTAGAGGACTGTGTGCATGTAATTGCAGAAGGCGCGATATACGCGGATATTAGGGATATGAGTGCTAGGGGGATTAGCTGGAATGATGGAAGTTTAGATGTTAACGGTGTGATCTCCACTAGTGGGACAGTTAGGCTCGTTTGCGCGTGGCTTGTTTAGGCAGCAAAGGCGTTTGACTGGGAATTAGGGTAAGCTTCATGATGATCCCTTCCCATACTAKCCTTAAAATCCCTTTGTGGTCATATTCATATTTCATTCATATTTCAAGCTACACTTATTGTATCGTTTATCATAAGAAGACAGAGTATTTAGTTTTACAGTAACTTTAAATGTCATTTTCCATGCAGGTTAAAACATCGCAAGATATTTGCAAAGAAATCAGAGTACCTGCATTGTCATTCGCTGAGACAGCCGAGAAAGTGTTCGAAAATGGACCAAAACGTTTGCGGTCATGGTCGAATTTTGCGAAGTAAGTATTTGCCTTTATATGGCTTTTATTTTTTAGAACCGATCTACTCTAAAATCAACCTAACACTATCTCTCTTACTCTCTCAATTTCTTTACTAGGCAATTCGTTGATGGCGGTCTGATGGGCACATACTATGCCGCCGCTTGCGTTTACATGGTGTTCATTGCCACATCATTTCACGACGTGATCAACTATGACACCGGTCTTAAATGGGATGTGCGCATTTATATTGCGATTGTTGTAATACCCTGCCTATTAATTGGACAAATAAGGGATTTGAAATGGCTTGTACCATTTTCCGCCATGGCCAACATATTCATTGTGGTCACATTCGTCATTGTGTTATACTACTTATTCAGCGAGTCTTTGGTATTCGAAGACAAACCGCTGATAGCGGAAGTCACACAGCTACCGCTCTACTTTGCGACTGTCATCTTCGCCATGGAGGGTATTGGCGTAGTTATGCCCGTCGAGAATACCATGAAGAATCCACAAAGATTCCTTGGCTGCCCCGGTGTACTCAATATAGCTATGATTGTCGTAGTGTCATTGTATGCGTTAATCGGTTTCTTAGGTTATGCACGTTATGGCAGCGATGTGCTTGGCAGCATTACTTTGAACCTGAAGGAAGGTGTACCGTAAGTATGAAATGCATAGAAATGTATTCTATATGAATATATTTGGAAATTATTTATTACGTCTGATTTTATTCCTTTATTTATGTAGTTTGGCTGACACAGCGAAATTGTTGATGGCCGTTGCCATACTGTTCACCTATGGACTGCAGTTCTACATACCCAACGAAATTCTCTGGAAAAAAATTAGTCACAAATTTAACGAACAGCACCACAATAGAACGCAAATACTTTTACGTACCGGTATTATATTGATTAGTGGTGGTGTTGCTGCGGCTATACCCAATCTGGAGCCATTCATCAGTCTTGTGGGCGCCATCTTCTTCTCACTGTTGGGTGAGTTCTATACGCATTTATCATTTTTATACACTGAACAGGTTATATTAAGTTTGTTACGAAGCGTGTAACATCCAGAAGTAGACTTCGGTGACTCTATCAAATATTGGGTTGTCGAAAAAGTCTTTTCGTATTTCTATACAAATTTCAACGTTTTTTTTTTATACATATATATATATGTGACCTGGTCTACGGAATGGGGTTAGGTGTCAAAAAATCAATTTTCACTTTTAAGTTTGATTCGGATGGAAGGTGAGATGCTTTTTCACTTGATAGAAAAGTAGTTTTCGCACGTTAGCTCCCTTTTCGTAGACCAGGTCACATATTATAATGAACTCTAATGAATCAAATATGTAGTATTTTGGACTACCACTTTTCCGCTAGAGACGTTATTCCATTAGTGAAAAACTTTTATGGTTTCTCGGCGAAAAACTGCGACAAAAAATTTTCTCATGTTTTTCTTGAAGCCAACTTTATACCATTAAGGGATTCTGCATTGACCGAAACAAAAGGTAGTCCGATGATGCAAGGTCAAGGCCATATGGTGGATGCATCAAAACTTCCCAGGCAAGCTCTCCCAGTTGTGGCCGAGTCAACAAAGATGTGTGTGGTTTAGCGTTGTGGTGATGGAAGACGAAGCCCTTTCTGTTGATTAGTTCTGGCCGTTTTTTTTTTCGATTGCTTGCTTCATTCTTATCAGTTGTTGACAGTAAAATGTAGAATCTATCATTCGAACAGGCTGCAGCAGCTCATAGTGTATGATTCCTT